AAAAAAATAAGAGGAAATTTTTGGACGTCGCTAATTTCGTTCTTTTTTTTTGTCGAATTTTCTGTGGATCTTTTTCTTTTTTTGTTTGCAGTTTGCGGATGAAAAAAACAGAACAAAATTGCCTATTGTGAGGTCACCATTGAAAGCCGTGAATCAGGCAGCATTTGTACGCGATGACACTGCACTGGCAAGCATTCTGGATAAGACATCTTCACAAGAAGCGAACACCGAGCCTGTTATGCGTATCTTTGTGAGTAATTTTTAACAGTTTTTCAATGGAATAGTAGAATGGAAGGATTGGTCTTAAGTGTCATGTGCCGAAGGACATTTTTAGGATGTAGTTAGTCTGTGTTTCATCCCTTAGCTATAAGCACAGACCGGACTACGCATGCGAGTAGAAGTGGGAATCGTCAGTACAGCCTCTTACCCGCCATGCGTTGAAAAGACTATAGCTATTTGCTAGAAAGATAAGTGAAAGGAAAAGATAAAGAGAGTAAGAAGGAGAGAAAATATTCAATATCATGGAAGAAGTAGGAGTGATAGAGCAGGTGGAAGAGGAGGAAACTAACATATGATAAGGGCAGTAATTTTATGAAGTTACGAGGAGACAGCTTTCATGAGAATATTGCACTAAGTAGGTTTTTAATTCCTAGATCATCAGGTTCAACTTTTATCTTCAGTAAAGTACTTTTTCCCCGTGTTCCGCCACTTTTTTTTTTGCTATTCCAGCATTTTTCAGCCGTTTTTGGCATTTTTCCAATATACGAGGCGAAGAATTCTTTGAAGTCAATTCCGTGTTATAGAATGGCCGTGAAAGACCATCAATGTTCGCGGGTGGTGTTAATCCAATGGATGCTGTGGCTGGAAAATTTGCCAAGCCAGTGGCTGTTCTTGCTGCGTTTTCGCATCCTACGACTACAACCAAGTTTCTTCGCGAAACATTTCCGAGTGCCCCTCCGACACCGAGATCAGCAAAAAAATTTCTCGTAAGTTCCTCGTTTTTACAAATGCAAAACGCATATTGTGACGGCCCACGGTGTGTGCGCGCGTGTGCGTGTGTGTGTGTGTGTGTGTATGGAGTGTGTGTATGTGTTTGTGTGTCTGTGTGCGTGTGTGTATGTATGAAGTGTGTGTTTGTGTGTGTGCGAGTATGTTGTGTGTGTGTCTGTCTGTCTGTCTGTCTGTCCAGGTATTTCAACTCTGCAACCCTATAAGCTCCGACGCTGAAATCTTGCCAGTGGGTTCACCTGTCAGGTGCCGTCCAGTACCGCGGTATCAACCTCCAAGCATTTCTAGTCCCTTCGTAAGAGCGCGTGAAATTTTAGCGAGAAAATTGCTAACTCGGGAACCAGAAAAGCTGGGAAGCTGAAATTTTAAGGGGATTTTCCCAGCCCACGTACATCTTAAAGAATTCAAATTCAGCTCCCAGATATGCATGCTTGTCATGTACGGCCTCATAAAAGTTTTTGGCAAGAATATTGCTAATTCGCGGGCCGGAACAGCTGGAAAGTTAAATTTTAACGGAATGTTCCCTGTACAAGTGCCGCGTAGTTGCACAATCAACTTCCTAAACTTCTAGGGCCAGTATGTCACAAGTTCTAGCTACTGGAATTCTAAGCGATTTTACCATAGCACGAAATACTGCAAAAACGCATGATCGCACGGACCTTCCTGCGCAGGGCTTGCCACGTTTCAGTGGTAACGTCAGGATTCTTGGTCAGCCTCTTAATGATTCTGACGCTCGTTTTACCCTAGACGGTCGACGATTCTTCCGAAAAAAGCATTTTTAATAGGTCACAAATGAAATGAACGTTTTTTTCTTCATGTTCAGACGCTTACAACTAGCGAAAATCTGATTTGCAGCGTGGCCGTGAACGTCCATCCCTGTTCCCGAACGGAATCAATCCGCTTGATGCAGCTGCTGAGAGATTCGCAAAACCGGTGCCAACAGCTGTTTTTGCTGCGCGTGCGCAATCAATAGGGCCTGCAGGATTGGCAGGAATTGTTCCGGTGACACTTTTGAGTACGCCTTCATCCATACTGAAACAGGTGAAGAAAACGCCGGTATGTTTTTTTTTGTTTTTTGAAATTCGAAAAATCAGTGAAAACGACGAATTGATGGGCTCATACGCGTGAACCAGGAGCTCCCATTTTGACAGCAGGTGCCCGTACATGCATATAGATTAAGTTTCCAGAGTTTCAGCCCTGTAGCTTTTGTAGGTCCCGAGATAAAAAATCGGTACAACCGAGCCGGACTAGCATCATTTTAAATTATTTCTATCATTTTTATTAAATTTTTAGTGTTTTTTTTTCGTGAAATTGTGACAAATTTGGGCTAAATCACCTGCAAACTTATTTTTTTGCAAAAAAAACAAACAAAAAAAAATTTTTTTCAGTCGAAAACTGTCCGGTTTGATGAAAGCAGTGATTTCAGAAGTCCTAAAAATGCAAACCAGACCAATCCCTCGTCATCAGTATGTTTTCGAGGCATTGAATTTTTGCATATTTCTGCTTGAAATATACTTGTAATACCTGGCAATCTGATTTTCCAATTCAGCCGCTGGTAAAATCAGCCGTTGTGTGACCGTGACCAGTGCCGCTTTGCCTTAAAATTTCAGCTTTCTCGCTTCCCTGGCACCTGAGTTAGCAACTACTGGAATAAAATTTTCACGGGCCCGTGAGTGTTTACCAAGCATGCCTGAGAGCTGAGTTCGAGCAGAATGAAACTTAGGTGGACGATGTGGTCAGCTTGCTGGTGATTTTGATGTTTATTTCATTACTTAAGGGAATACTATCTCTGCGGTTCTTCTGGTAGAACCGAAATTTTTGCTATTTCGAGATGGCCTAGATCTGTACTGAAAATCAGCATCTCATCCCGAATGTTGCTACTCTTAAATCACGACGATATATTAACGGGGAGGTGTAGTTTTAATTTATTGCATATAATTATAGTTGTTAATTTGTTTTAGAACAAATTGACGCTGGATCTGGAACTGGAATTTTATGAAATGCTGGCACCGTTAAGAGCATTGCCTGAGCATATTTTCGACAATTTAGAAGTAGCAGTGAAAGCTGTTTCGTTGGAAAAGAGACTGTAAGTAATTTTTTGTCACGGAAAGTTTTGATGTAGTTTCCTGCAATTTTTTCGGTTTTTTTTTCATGGACAAATTCCAACCTTTTTGGTTTTTTTTTACAAAAATAACTTCTGATGTTTCACGCGGCTCTGGCAAATTTTTCAGGAAAGGCGGCGAAACACATAACGACCGGACATCTTGTTTTTCGAGGCATACAATTGCCGAAAAACCTCAACAGACCAAAACTGGGAACGGGTCGACGGACTGTATCGCATTGCGAACAAGACGGAAAAGTCGTTTATCACAAGTATGC